TATATATGTATATGTATATATATATACATGAGCCTCTTATTTGCTAGCGATACTAGTGATTATTTGTTACATTAACGAATTAATTTGCAATCGCAACAAATCGATCGTTTTTTTAACAAATATCACATTTGCTTTCCCTTGATTTATTCCTATAACAATCATTTCTCTCAGTGCATCTTTCCTCTCAAAGGTAGCGGATAAATCGCTGTTGCTGATGCAGCTCTCAAAATGATTATCGTGCACAGCTAGGAATAGCGGACTCTCCTGGAGAAGGTGGTGCGGGCCCTCTCGAGCCTATGAAGGACAAAAATCTCTAGAGAGGGGGTGCGAAAATGACAACGTAGTCAAGGCCGTCGTCGCCGTTCCACTCCCGAAGCGGTACATTGAGAGTCGAAAGTGAAACATAGAATGCCGGCCGGCATAGAGAATGACGCACGTACTAGCCAGTATTTCGAAAGCAACACCTCCCAAGCACACACTTATGCACAGCTGTCCCGTTTCCTCCGTACCAACCATTATATGTGTCACGCCACTTAGAACTGGCGAGAAGGCAGGCGAAGGTTACTCATTCGAGCCGATACAGTAACGAAGAAATGCCTCAGGCATTTATCGAGACGACTTTTACGGAATCCGCCTTGAAATCGGTGTTGCTCTTTTTTTATCGAGACTTTTGCCGAATTGATAATTTTTTTATTTAAACGATAGTGCGAAATATCGCTAAATGAAATGATGATCTTTTTATTCTTGTATCCTGATTTTGTAGTTGTTAATAGGTCTTCTATAATAAGCCATTAGTCATGAATCAGAAGTCAGAAGCTAAAAATTGACCAATCACAGTCGTCAATTTTTAGCTTCTGACTTCTGATTCATGGCTTATTATAGAAGGCCCATAACAATTCGGTATCATTATGTTGTCATTGCGCAGATATACAATATCTCTCTCGCAAAAGCACTTAAATTGACGATATTTATCACATGATCGTTTGAAAAAAAAATTTTCGGTAAGAGATCTCGATGAAGAAGGAACAACATTCATCTCGAATCGGAGTACCGTTCACTTGAATGCTAAAAATTTCTTGCAAACCTACGCGCTTACTATATTTTTCATTTCTCTGACTTTCCTATTTTTTTTTTTCCACGGTCTCTTGGATTCACGATTACGCTCGATACACTCGCACGACCGTTGCCCGCTAATTGCGAGATTACGATCGCTTTATGATTGCTACGGAAACGGCAGATTCAAGGAGTTAATTGGAACGGCGCGAGAGGGAAGCGAGTTCGAAGCCGTTTACTTTTGAGGTGAAGCCTTACCGTTACTCGGTGTACACGAATTACACCGATATAGATTGAGGGATTGCAAACTCGCGAGATAATCGGCACACGATTGTAATTAAGACGAACCGGCACTTCTTGTGCGAGGGAATCCGCTGGCACGTAATTCATCCTGGAGTGCCTGTTGAAAACAAGAAGTAACCGACGGAAAACGCATCGTTTACCATTCAATCGGATGAGCTCCGTCCATTACTAGCCAGATCGGATTTTTATCTATCCCTTTAATCCTGCTGTTCCGCTTGCGTTTTGTACGCTCACGTTCAGTACGCTCCACTGCGAATTACGCATATATCACTGAGAGAAATGATTTTGTATAGAAACAAATCAAGGGCAAGAAACAAATCAAGAAAGCAAATGTGATATTTGTTAAAAAAATGATCGATTTGTTACGATGGCAAATTAATTCGTTAATGTAACAAATAATCAATACAAGTATCACTAGTAAATAAGAGGCTCATATATATATATATATATATATATATATATATATATAAAAGTGATAGATGGTTGCAAGGTATCAAATCGAAAGAAATCAATTCTAGTCAAATATTCTGCCTATATTAGACTGTGCTTGGTTGCTCAATTTCCTAAGACTCCACGATCATCTACAAATTCTATGTAAACGAGCCTAAAATTTATCCAAAAGATAAGTTAGATTCTGTATAGTTTGCTTCTGTTATTAATAATTGGTTGGTATAGCAGACTAGCAGCAAACATAACAACAAAATTTGTTGTCATATATTTACCGACGCTATCACTGGTTAAAGATACTGGTGGCTTGTTAAGTTAATAAAATCCTTTCTCTCAGTGTATATCTTAACACGATTTCAGTCGAACAAATCCGATCTTTTTTTTCCCATGTCGCACAGAAGAAGATCCGCGATATTATCGTATTCGAAAATTGATAAGAAAGGAAATCGAATGTGGAACTGATCTTCTTGAGATTGTCGATTTTTAAAGAAGAATACGCGGATACGTACAGCACTGAATTCCAACGAACTGACATTGAAAATTTGCATGTAAAACAATATGCACGCTATAATCGATTTATTATAAATATACCGTCATCATATTATATAATATTGATTATTCATATAATATTAATTAGCAATAAAAACAGAACATAGTTGAAAAAACGTGCCTTAATAAATGCACGATGTAAGTAGCTAGATAAAAAAGAATTTTACGCGTTGAAATGTGACCTCGCAGCGAAACGGAAACTTGTCAACCTTGTTTCGCGTGCAAAATTTTACAACAACGAAAAGAAAAATAAACTGGTTCATCATGATTTCTTCTATTTATCATTAAATGGATTTTGGATTTACAAACTCGCCGAAAGATTTCCAAGGTGGACTAGAATCAATCCTTTAACGTTTATCTTAGAGTATCACGTATAAATTGCGTGCAAGTGGCAGAGAAAAAAATTGCCGTGAGAATTAAGGTTTCGATTACCGAGAACCTTTCCTTGACTCTAATTGTCGCATTAGTACAATGCTATACGAGTATATTCATATCCATAAGTTAACTGCACGTAACGTAACTGCAAACAACTGCTCTTTACGTTCTCTTGTATACTGAGCTTGTATGGCAACAGGCATGTTTACAGCACTCACCTGACGAAAACTTATTTTTACTTGACAGTGTTATAATATGAAGAAAATCACATTAATAACTAAATTCGCGAAATTAATTTCTTTTCAAATGATTTCTGTTTAAATAATTTTTATGCCAAGTCAGATTTGTCGTATTTATCAATTAAAACTGAAAACAAAATTCCAGCATAAATCTAAATAGAATTGCCACTATAAACTTTAAAAACTTTTCTTTTTTCTTTATTTAGAGAGAAATTGTTGATTCTCTTCCTTTCATTTAAAATTTAATTATTTTAATCTTTGTTTTTACTATTTAATATAAAACTTAGTGATAGTACTTTTAATGGTCTAATAATTTCTTGTTTAGTAATAATTACAACATTTATTCATTTTCATAATTTTATATAAACATACATGGTAAGAAGCATTATGCTGAAATATTTAAAGATAGATAATTAGATATGAAAATAATTTTGTTGAGCC